CTGTGGGGTATGGGCTGAGAGAAAAACTGACGGACAGTGGCAGAAGCCAGAAGGTCCCGGGAGCCTTGATACAGTCATTAAGAGCAAATTTTACAGATAAGGCTGTGCTGTCCAATATGGCAACCATTAGCCGTGTGTGGCTGCTGAAGTTAAAGCTTAAATTAATTAAAATGTGTTGCAGAAAGAACATCAAGTGTTCTTTAGCCACCTGTAGTATGGTTACGGCCTCTGAGCCCTTCAGATAGTTCTCTGAACTGGCAGAGAGCACTTTCCTTCTCCTCCAAACATCACTCAAGTGCTTTCTTCGCGTGTGTTGGGCGCTCCCACAAGTACTCTCAAGGACTGGATTGGACATCTTTGGAGAGCACAGTTTGCAGTGAGCTCACTTTCCCAGCTCAGGCTCCCCACTACCAGCCGGTAAGCCCAAACGCTTCAGTGGTCCCTTTTACCGTGACTCTGGAGTGTTCTTGCCGACAGTGACATGGCCATCACTTGGGTTCATCCCTCACACTGGGCAGCCACCTGCTGGCACCATTTCCTCCGTGTCCCAGGACTGCATGTACACTGACTCCACGTAGTCATTTAAACTGGTGTTTATTTTTACTTCACCCTGCCCAAAGAGGAAGCTTCATTTCTACACATGGGCAGCCATCCAATAAAAGGTTATTTTTTCCCCTCTTTGTGTCAGTTTCTCTGTGTAGCCCTGACTGTGCTGGAACTCACTCTAGACCAGGCTGGCCTGAAACTCACAGAAATCTGCCTGCCTCTGCCTCTTGAGTGCTGGGGTTACAGGTGTGTGCCTGGCTATCTATCTATCTATCTATCTATCTATCTATCTATCTATCTATCTATCTATATTGTATTTCTCAGGTTTAGAGAGAGGAAGATCCAAATTGCATCTCATCACAGTGGAAGTGTGTTTGTCTCTTGTCTGCATTCTGTTTCTTGTGATGCCACAAGGCACATGGCCTCTGGAAAACCCCAGAGGACACTCATGAGAGGATGAGGGTGAGAAGGCAAGGGAATGGACTTCAGTGACTAAAAGGCACTCGCCACCAACACTGACTTGAATGTTTCTTGGAGTCACTGTATCGGTGAAAGGACAGAACCAACTGTACAGTCAGCCTCTGGCCTCCACGTGAGGCCGCGCACACATGCCTACACACTAAATAATATTTTAAGAATGAAAAGTCCAGTCCTACTGTATTATGAAAGTGGGTTCCAGCATCACCCAGTGGATCCTGCAGACTGCACGCTAAGGGAACCACTAGAGACCTCTGCACACTGGACTGGAAGGTTCACTGTCGAGCGTGAGATACCTGCCCTGTAGCCTTGCAATCACGTCACCTGGCTCCAGTTTTCTTATCTGCATTCTGTGGCTGGCTGTGGTTCCTGTCAATCCTGTCTTACAGGGTCATTTCCAGGCTCAGCCCAGGCAATGGAAGCCTCTCTTCCCGAACCAAGGCTGTATATTTATAAACGGCATCACCAAGGAACCTTTGAAGTCCGTGCCGTCTCTCATAAGTAGGACAGTTATTTTGAAAACTCTGCCACCCCATCTTTATGCAGCTGGTTCTGGGGACTCCTCCGTGAAACCACTCATTATCCCTAGTTTACAGGCGAGGTGGTTGAGGCTCAGCTAAGTTGATTGGCCAGAAAACAGGGACTTGTCCCCAGTACAGTGAGACACTGACACCCTGTTCCTAAGGCACACTGGCTGAGTGGCTTAGCTGGAGTTCTTATCTGGTGTGGGGCTGTGTTTTTGACACACTGACACATTCAAACAAGGAGACCTCCACTGCCAGCAATTCTCTGCCTAAGTAAATTACCCTCCCTGTGAGTCACAGAAGCTTAGAAGATCTGAAGACAGGCACAGCAGGAACCAGTTCAGAACTCTTTGGCATGCAGATTTTTAAGTCAACTGGGTTGCTGGGTGTGGTGGCACACACCTATAATGCCAGCACTTACAGGTGGAGGAGGAGTGTGAAGTCCGGACCAGCCTGGGCCAACAGCCCATCTCAAAACAGTTTTTGTTTGGGTTTGGTTTGTTTTTTTTTTTTTTTTTTTTTTTGGCTGGGTCAAGCTGGCCTTGAACTCCAGAACTCCAGATTCTCCTTGCCTCTAAATCCCAGGCCCTGGAATTACAGGGTGTGTGTAAGCACGTTCAATAGTTTTGACAGGTAAAGACCTGCCCATCTTCTGGAGGTGTTTGTCCTGATTACCTGTCTTCATGGATCATTTCCCAGGAAAGCAACTTTCTGTGTACTCCATCCTGAAGCAGCCCCTCTCTTATCTTGGAGGATTATTCGACTATGATGTAGCTGACAAAGAACTAGGCTTTTCTAGAACTAGGGAATGGAGCAGGAGGCACGAGTCTGTGGCAACCAGCTCTTCAGATAGTATTTAAGGAAATCTTTTTAGCTGAGCTAAATCCCACCCACTGTACACCAGTGACTGAAGCCCTCCTGCAGCCAGCTGTGTTTAGTTACAAGGCTGTACCCGGGATGGCGCAGAGATCGGCCTTCTCTTCCTACCCGCATTAGCGTAGCTAATATAGTAACTAAAGGTACACATTGTGGGTCTCATGGATTTTAAAGGGCTATTGCAATTGCCATTGATAGAAGTCCAATTCCGGCTTGAGCAAAAGAGAAAGCAAGGCTGTGGGTGGTGACGGGGAGGGATACTGTCTCAAGGAAGAGAAGAATAGCAGAGTGTAGGGCTGCCTTCTCTCCTACCACTGTGCTGTCGGGCTTTCTCATGGTTCATCCCATTCTTCGGCCACCTCAGCGGGAGCATGGTGGGATGGAGCTGATTGTGTAATGCCCACGTGTATAGCTCACTGTTGGGGAAATGATTGCCAAACCTGTGCGTCCCCCTCCCTGTGCCCTTGAGCGGTCACATTTTCAGTACAGAGAGTCACAAAAGATGTCAGCCAGGCTGATGATGGGCTCACTGCCCAAGGCACCTTCGAGAAGGCCCAAATATATCAGGTCGTTTGCCCTGAAATCCATCACAAGCTATGATGCTAGCCTCCCAGGGAGGCTGAGGCAGGAAGGCTATGAGTTCAAGGTCAGCCTGGACTACACAGAGGAAGGGACCTGTCTCTTACTATTCCACCCCAGCATGGATGATGACTCATAGAATCTGTAGCTACAGCTCCATAGGAGGATTGCCAGCCCTGGCTTGGGGCTTATGGCTGCTGTACCATTCTGGGCACCCTGAACCCTGTAAGCTTGTGGACTTCCTGAGTCTTTAGGGACTTGCCATGCTCCAGGAGGGAAGGTTTCAATTAGGAAGAGATGACTGTGTATACTACAAAAACCATGACGGTGACACAGAACTGGGCAAACTGGGTCAGAAGTGGGATTTGGGCTCAGGAGATCCCAAGGACGGCAGAGGCCACTCCCTTGTGTTCTGGAAGGCCAGCAGCATTGCCAGACCCCCCCCCCCCCCACCTTCCAAGCCTGTAGCTTGAGATGATGAGATGAACTGGGAGAACTGATCCAAGCCTCCTTCATCTGCACGAGGCCCTCCAGTTCCACATGTACAACACAAGTTTGTGAGGTTAATCAGGAGGAGACATCTGGCTTCCTTAGATGCCTGTAAACTTTGCCATCCTTTTGCTCTTCTCAGCCAAGGAAGGCCATTGTGTCCTTCTTGGGATCAGCCCCCGCTCCTCAAGAGTCTTTTCCCCCTCAGGCTTCTGTGTAGATCCTGCCTGCTCCTTTGAAGGTTTTCTAGGGGTTCTCTGCAGTAGCTGATGTAGTGAGAGTCTCTGCTTCTGAGTTCCACAGCATCCCTAAATTCCACAGCAGCCCGGCACTGCCAGGCTGGAAGGGCCCTGAGGTCAGGGCCCCACACAGGGTAATCTTGCACTCTGTTTAACACTTGTGAGTCCCATGGTTTAGAGCTCCAAGGAAGTGTGGGAAATGGTGTGGTCATGTGAACTGAAGCCACCAAAGACCTCTGAGAGCTCTTACCCAGATCGGGAAGGTTTAACATACATAGGGTGTCCAATATAAGTCATTGTAGCCAGAAGTTTCTGTCCCACCAGGCCCCACAGCAGTCCCAAAGAAACACACAGAGGCTTATATTAATTATAAACTGGCCTCTTAGCTCAGGCTTATTTTTAACTAGCTCTTACAACTTAAATTGACCCATAATTCTTGTCTATGTTTAGCCACCATGGTACCTTTTCTCAGTGTGGCATTCTCAACTTGCTTCTTCTGCATCTGGCTTGTGACTGCATCTAAGCTTTTCCTCTCCCCAAATTCTTAGTCTGATTGTCCCACCTATACTTCTTGCCTGGCTACTGGCCAATCAGCATTTTATTAAACCAATACAAATCTTTACACTATACAACAGCATTATCCCACAGTAAGTTGCTAGACACTTCTGGTTTTTCAAGACAGCTTCTCTGTGTAATAGCTCTGTTCTAGAACTTGTCCTTTATACTCGACTGGCCTCTAACTCACAGAGATCCACATGCCTCTGCCTCCTGAGTGCTGGGGTTAAAGGTGTGCACCACCACTGCCCAGCAATTAGATACATTTTTACAAGATTTTTAGATCACATAAATAAAGTACCTAAATTACATGGTGTGGTGGCAAATGTGGATTAAATCTCAGTGCCAGGGAAGTGGAGGCAGGAAGATCTGAGTGTTCAGTGCCATGGTCAGGTGACTCCGAATGGGTGACTGGATGGGTGAGTGATTGTAAAGCCTAACGTGTACGTGTAGCTAAAGTAACTTGCAAATACGGTTTCTTCTCAGTCATGTGACAAGCTTGAAGCTCTCATGTAGCTGGTGGTAGCACTGATTGGACAGTGTGGGTTCTAGATCCTTCTTAGAATGACTGGCAGGTTTCAGATGGTGCCACGCCTGGCACTGGGCTCCTGCGATGTGTGAATTCCATCCAGGTGTCTCTGGTCAGATGCAGCAGATGTTGGCAGCTTCCTCCCTGAGCCTGATGATGTTTCCTCCGTCTTCCCCCTGGCTACAGGACGCACGTCAGAAATTCCGATCCGTCCTGGTCGAGGCAACAGTGAAGCTAGACGAACTGGTGAAGAAAATCGGCAAAGCTGTGGAGGACTCAAAGCCCTACTGGGAGGCCCGCAGGGTGGCAAGGCAGGTAAGGTGGCCTGCAGATGTCTCCTCTGCCACTGCTCCCAACTGCATTTGGGGGTCACCCTTAGATTTCTGTATCTCCCACTGCAGGTTAGACATACTTGTCCCATGTGAAATGGCCATGGCTTTGTACAAAGATGACTGTATTTGATCGCTCTTCTTAGACCCTGCCCCCATCAACTCCACGAGCTCATGATACCATCGACACTGTATGGGTGCTGATATGTTTTTTGCTGCATGACTTGGCTGATTGCTCTGAGTTGGAGAGCTAGACTAGACTCATGGGCATTGCGAATGTGTCCAGAGTTTGTGCGTTAGCAAAGCAGGCTGGTTGGTTTCATCCAAATCATACTTGGTGGGTGGGGCCTCATCTGGCTACCACTCCACCCAAGTGGGTTTCATAACCTTCCTTTCTTTTCTGTTGTCCAAATCTCCGTTGGGACAGGGGTAGGAGGGAGCTGTATTGGGAGGCACCTTATCTGCTAGGGAGCAGTGGATTGTGGTGTATCTCTTCCTTCTCTTTTGACACTGAGGATGACAACCATGGTCACCTAGTCAGTTATCAAGTGTAGCCAGAGAGTTCCAGGTCCTAGCAGGGAGGTAGCTGGCTGCAGTGGACAGAGGCAAGATGAGTCTTGAGGGAATTGAATCTACAGCTAAACCTGCAAAGCCTCTCTCTCACCTTTTTCCTGCTTGGGGTGCCTCTGCCCTCAGCTCCAAGGGACTTTGGTCTCTTGTGGAGGAACTGGAAGCTTGTGAAGGCTGAGGCAGGCAGGATGTTACATTTCACTCTTTGGGTGACAGGTTACCTGGGCTTGAGCCAGATGTTGTGAGTGGCCCTGTAACCTTTCTGATGGTAGGAGAGTGTCCACCTCAGCTGCTGCCAAGTGGGGTTCCTGTTTTCTTCCTTGGCCTCATCCCAGATCCTTTCCTTTTGATGTTTGCAAACCTTTCTGACTCACCCAGCAAGGGTTGTAGCCGAGGGTCCTGCCAAGCACTTCCTCTAAGAGTACATCCTGAGCTTCTGCATCCCGTTCTTGAAATGTTGATGGCATTGTTCTTAGGGCTGAAATGAGAGGCTGTGTCTGATAGCGGAGTCCCTGGATGAGCTTGGGTTTCAGTGGCTTTTTTTTTTTTTTTTAAAGATTTATTGTGGAAAATTTAGAACTGGCTTACTTGCTCCCTCCACCCCTTCCCCCCTCTCTGTCTTTGCACTCTTCAGCCGTGGCTTCGCACATCTGGAATGCCTGTGTCCCCAGCCAACATCTCACTGAATCCCACAGGATACTTACAAGGAGAAAAACCTTTCCTACAACTTGGCTTTCTGTAACGAGTTTAGAAAGACATGTAGTCATAGGACCAGCAAAAAATTGTAACTGTGCGTCAGAACTCTGCATGGCCTTGTTCTCTACGTCACATCGTTTTCCTGACAGTAAATCAGGCTATCCTGTGACCCTGAGACCAAGTCCAGGTAGTACAAAGAGGAGCCAGACCATGCCATCTTTTCTACTCTGGACTGGGGCAGGGGACTGGCTTGAGAGCTGTTATGCTTGGGTGAAAGCTTGCTCTCAAGGGGGCCCTGATGTGTCTGCGGTGGCCTGTGCCTCTGCTTGCTTCGTTCTATGGCGTCAAACTGCCTCAGCTACCGATATTCTTGGACCTCTCGTTGTCACTGGCAGTCCAACCTTTGTTTATTTACTGGGTTTTTTGTTTTGTTTTTCTCTTTTTAAATTGGTAAAGCAAGAATATAACAAGAAAATTTCCGTTTAGCCATCTTAAAGTGTACCAATTGAGTGGCCCTAACATTTATTTTGCTATGCAACCTAGACCACCAGAACTTTTCTCTCCTCTGATTTAGATGCTGTAGCCATGACTAGAGAGTCATCTCCCCACTCCTCTCTCCACAGACCCTGTCAACAATCCTGCTGCTTCCTGTCCTAGGAGCGTGCCTACTCTAGACACCCCATAAGCACTGAGTTATCAAAGAATGTTCATTATCTGTGACTGACCCATTTTATTTGATGTATGTCCCTAGTTTTCACCCCTGGTGTGTCACATGTCAGCATTCCCCTCATGTGTATGTTTATTGACATCTGTTCCCTCCTTCTACAATGTGGGTTCTAGGGAGTCAGGCTACCGCCACGCAGCTGCCCAAGAAGCAAGATGTGAGGTAACAAACCATGAGCCTTGTGGCAAAATATAAAATAGTAGAAATGTGTTAATTTAAGATATAAGAGTTAGTTAATAAGAATCCTGAGCTAGTAGGACAAATACTATGTAATTAATATTAAGACTCAGAATGGTTTTTTTTTTTTTTTGGTTTTTCGAGACAGGGTTTCTCTGTGGTTTTGGAGCCTGCCCTGGAACTAGCTCTTGTAGACCAGGCTGGTCTCGAACTCACAGAGATCCGCTTGCCTCTGCCTCCCAAGTGCTGGGATTTAAAGGCGTGAGCCACCACCGCCCGGCCTCAGAATGGTTATTTTATAAGTGGCTTCAGGAACAGGCAAGCAGAAAAAACCCAGTCCAGGGGGTTCAGCGAGATGGAGAATAATTGTAGCTACATCTGGCACCCAATGTGGGGCTGATTCGCATGACCCACCACCCACTTCAGCTCCAAGTGCTTGTACACCTGCTTCGGATTAAGAGGAAAGTAGCTGAGAGCGCACCCACAGCTCAATACTCCCCACAGAAAAGTGACTGCTAAACTTTCCAAAGACAGGATAGTCCTTCAGGGTTCCTGCTTCACAGAAGAAACTGCCAGACATTCTGCAGGACACAAAAGAAAGAAGAAACAAGCAAACTTTGCCAGTAAAAGGCAAATCAGATCTTCAAATTTCCTGCTTCACTGAAAAGTCTGCCAGATATTTTGGGACCTATAGGCTGAGGATGGATACCCCAATATTACAAAAGAACTTTGGGTGACTGTCCAGGCAGCAAGATATCTGTCATTTCTAGAATGTTAGAAGTTGCTTACAGTGCACTTCCTGTTTACTTAGGTAATATTATTTCCTTATGGGGTCTTTGGAGTTCAAGACAGATAGTTATAGTTTTCATTAGTTATAATAAAAGATAAATTAGATATAAAACTTTAGACTCACAAAGATAGATGATAAAATATTTTAATTTTGTCAGATACAAATAGACTAAATATTGTAACTGTAATTCTTGCTTGCTACTTGTTATATATAAATTTTACTAAGTTAAAGTTAAAACCTTTTTATTTATACAGAAAAAGGGAGATAATGTGGGATTCCCTTCTATATGCTGTGATTGTTTTATTACCATTGATCAATAGAGAAACCACTTTGGCCTATGGCAGGGCAGAATAGTGCAAAGCAGGAAAACTAAGCTGAATGCCAGGAGAAAGAAGGCAGAGTTGGGCAGACGCCATGCAGCTGCTCAAGAAACAAAATGTGAGGTAACAAACCATGAGCCTCGTGGTAAAATATAAAATAATAGAAATGTGATAATTTAAGATGTAAGAGTTAATAAGAAACCTGAGCTAACAGGCCAAAGAAAATGTAATTAATACTAAACTTCAGGATGATTATTTTATAAGTAGCTTTGGGAGCAGGTGGGCCAAGAAAACCCAATCCAGGGGGACCAGCAGGACATAGAAAATTTGTAGCTACAAACTTAGATACTGGGGCTGGTGGTCGGGTTCTTTGTCCTCTGAGCCATCCCACTGTCCCCATCTTTTAGGGGGATGGTACGCTCCTGCTTGAACATCGTACTCATCTGTCAGCACAGGCAGCCTTGTTGTTGTGAAATGGTTGGAATGTGGAGGCAGAGCCCGTTGTCGTCTGTAAGGGCAGTGTCAGCACAAAATGACCAGGTCAAAAGGCTCAGCGCTGCATGTTTGTGGGGCCACATGAGGCCATGGTCTACATTTAGCCTTCTGTAGGAGAGTGGCAAAGTGAGGAAACATTTGGAATTTGTAGAGTGATTTGGCTGGAGGAGAACCGGCAAAGCTTGACCTGTGACGTCAGACTTGCCCGGCTTAGGATCCCCAGGTCACCAGTTAGCTATGGGATCTTTGCAGTTCTCTTAGAGTCTGAGCCTCCCATTCTAATAAAATGGGTTGTCAGTTAGCTCTGCTACAAATCAAACCACCTGCGATGTAGTGGCTTGAAATGCTTATTTAGCTTGTGGCTTTGCTGAGCAGTGTTTTTGCCAATCCTGTGTGTACACGGTTGGCTGCCAGCAGCTCCTCCTGGATGACCTTATTTTGTTAGACTTGGTTGGTTGTCACCTGGGGTGGCAGGGGTGACTGTCTCTCATTCAATAGGACAGACTGGTCCCTTTCACGTGGTGTTGGATTTCAGGAGCAGAAAGAGCATGCCCTTCTTAGGTCTCTGCTTGATTTTATGTTTGTTGATATCCTTCTTGCTGGAGTGAGTCACATGACCAGCCCTGTTCCAGGAGGTGGAGAAAAATGATCTGCACCTGTAGGCATTTGTGTAATTTACCCTGGTGATTATTTTAGTGTCCTGGAAGCATTAGATAGAAAATGCATTGTTCTAGATAATCTTCCTGTCAAATATCGTATATCCATGGTGAATCTGCCACCTTAAATACAATGAGACATGACTCCACAGTTAAGCACACATACTGTTCTTGCCGAGGACCCTAGTGTTTCTCAACACCAACTCCTGGCAGCTCATAACTGCTTACAACTCCAGCTCCAGGGAGTTTGATACCACACACATACACAGCTAATTATAAATAATGAAGATAGGTCTTTTTAAAAATACAATAAAAACCAAACAAAAGAAATAATCTAGATAGATAGAATAAGAAAAAGACCTTTCCTGACTGGGAGCAGATACATATAAAGACATCAATACCAAATGCATTCCACAAATGCAGCCACGTTCCCTTCTATCTGTAGCTTCTTTATGTACCACGGATGTTCTAGCACTTAGGAGAGCGAACACATTCATGTTGGCAAATTTCCCCTTCCTTTTTCTGAAATGTGTATTGCACAGTTAACTCCTTAACCAA